ATGTGTTGTAAATAAAATCACGTTTTATTAATAATGCCGCATTCAACCTATTTGATCCATAATTTAACTTCTTCATAATAATACAGTATCACGTCACTCACTCTGTGACTTACCATCAATTACAATCTGTCATCAGCTAGGTCCTAAAATATGTTTTGTTAGCGTCCAAAATTCCACACCAAATCCCACAGTCTTCATGTCTTCGACATCCTCCAGCGAGTGCATCTGTGGCGAGTGCTTCAACTATGGGCCAGGATTCGGCAGTCACGGTTTCTTGCCCGGGCCAGCTTATTATCAAGCTTTGGGGCACCCGCTCATTTACTGTGCGCAAGTGGTAAAGTTCAATAAGTCAATTTTGGCGAGAATATGACATTTTCTTAGCAAAACGCAGCGTGGGACGTCCAACTATAAGGTGGACCGACGACCTCTTAAAGGTGGCAGGAAGGCGCTGGATTCAGGGCGCTACCAGCAGGGCTATGTAGAAATCATAGGGGGAGGCCTATGTTGAGCATGACGGACGTCCTGTGGCTGAGATACTAGTTCACGATTTTTATCAAGAAATCCTTATAAGTATTATAGTGGTGACCTCGTATTAACCTACAATCTTAACATGTGTATTTAAATGTCCTCAACATGATTAAAAGAACGTTTAACTTTTAGCAACAAACCCCAAATTATCGGAAGAGAAGCAAAGAATCTAACCCAAATTGCTTTGTGAAAGCTTTTCGGTGGTATACACAGGTAAACAATGTAATTACTTATATGAGACAAATAAAGCATACAAGTCTATTTAGCTATTACTCCAGATGTAATACACTAATAATTCAATATTTCACTCACTACTACTTACTACTGAATGCAGAATGCAATGCTTAATTTTTGTTGATACTTATTGTAGTTGTCGAATTTGAACGTTTTCTTCCAGAACAAATTAGTTATTTTTCATATTTCAAGTTGCCTTTAGAAGAATGTAAATGTAAATAAGAAGAATCGTAAGCTTTTGTATACCATTATAATCAACTAGAACCTTATTATAAAAATCTAGGAACACCACCCGCCCCCAAGTCGGGAGCTGCCCAACGAGAGGACCGACCTGATCGGGTTCTCCACGTGGTTGGACAAAAAATACGACGAGTTCATGCTGGACAAGCACGCGGAGCAGAAAACCTTCCAGCTGAAGCTGAAGCAGACTTCTATTCTGGAGGCGAACAAAAACAGCGCCAGGTAAAAGCTAATAGCGGTAACGATTACCTACTTGCTTAGTTCAGCTCTGAAGGAACTCAAATTAGTGAAGATTACTTTATTATTCCTAGCCTCGCTAGAGCGGAAAAGTTTATCCTATCGAATTTAGGCTCTAGTAGTGCCTCGCAGATCGATGCAAGTAAACCCAAATTTGAAAAAACTATTCTGATGAAAAGAAGTCCTTTTTTTTTGTTTTTTGTAGAAAATTAAGATATCCCCAGGGGCTTACGCTTCGAATTGTTTCAGCGCGGTTCATGATGTACGCGTTAAAAAAAGGTTTGCTAGAATGAAAAGGTTAGTTCGGTCAATTTCTTCTCTATCAAATTGTTTTACGTTAATTACGTTATCATAAAAGACTCACTGTGACTTACTTATTTTAGTCCCTGGAGAAAAAGACGTCGTTCAGTAACTAGTAAAGAAGCTGGAGACGTGTTGGAGAAGTAAGTAACGCGTTAGACTACCAGTTTTGGTGTTTTCAAAACGTTACTGTAATGAGAATTTTGGCAATTGACAGGTGTAACCAAAGCTTTGAATTTATCATGAAACCAAAGGAATTGAGTCGACCGACATCGGAATGTTGTAACCAGTAAGTGCAAACTATTCATAAATTACAAAAGTCTATTTAATATTGCGATTCATTTATAAAATAATTTAAATTATAGTGTATCATGCAATCGGTCAAATGCCTCTTCTGAAACACAAATATCGAAGAAGACTTTCGTTAAATCGCACAGCTCTGATAGGACCGTCTACGAAAAACAAAATGTTACGCCAATAGAAGTGATCAAACCTGAAGGTAGCAATGATAAAACTGTAAAGCTATCACGATCTAAATTGCAAATGAAAACTAAACCCAAACCGCCAACGAAAGAGATGAAAGATGTCGAATGTCAGTGCCCTGAAGAAAAATTTGAGATCTCAGACGCAGACATACAATGCGACATCATTGACAGAAAAGCATTGGTAGAGTCTCCTATGTCTGACTATAGCGGCAACCGATATTATATGAGAGAACATACAAGCAATGCTGGAAAATTAAGTGCAGTTTCTTCTCAGGTACTTAATAATTTTTACCGTATTAACCTTGATGTATATGAACCTTGATGTATTTGCCACATTTTTAAGAGCGACTATGTTTTAGTTTACGTAATCGTTAGTTGCTAATATTTCTATGACACCTCCTTTGTTAGCAGTCAGTATGAATGCAAATACGTGCAAATGTAGTTTCGGGTCGACGAATTGTACAATTATATAATTTTGACTCGTCTTTATGTGTTTGGATCACGCATATTGATTTATAGTCATAGTAAAATTCATCATTATTAACTGTCAAAAGAATTGCCTACTGCATTATGTATTGTTAGTTATCAATAAATTATCATCAATTTGTCATGCCGGATTTTACCTGAAGAGAAATAAGTATATTTCTGACTTATTTAACTTTTGTTGATATTTGGTAATATTTTCTAAAGAAAATTAATTTTACCAAACACATCACACGACAGAGCATTTCGAAATTTTAGAGAGTAACTATTTTTACATAATATTTACCGAATGCCTGATGGATGCGTACCTACTAAATTTTACAACCTATTTAATTACGTGGTACCCAGCGAGTTCTTTTGTGTCG